TGAGGTGATAAACGTGGGGAAAACAGTCCTATCTTAGATGCCTAGTGGTGGGTTCTGAAGAAACTGTTCTGTCAGGGAAGACATCATTGAGCTGTGGTAGGTAGTTTTCTGTAAGCATCAGCTCAGTGTTCAGACATAAGCAAGTAAATGAAACAGTAGGGATTAGCAGGAAAGTAACATTAGAAAAAGTATCAAGAGAGTAGAAGAGAAAAGAACTGTGATGTGCTTAATCTGTGGCAGACATGCCTTAAATGCACTGACTCCAAGCCTGGCTTTCTGGATTGGAAAAGAGTATAACAGATATAGAAAAAATACAGAGATGGGCAGTATGAAGGGTGAAGTATAGTTTCTGTATAAAGAACAGCAGGATATATTAGTAATCTTTAACCCAGAGATCTGTAAAAGAAGAAGGATATAGAGAGATGTGATTGTTCACTTCCTCTCCTATACAAAAAGGAGGTAAGCTAAATTCTGCTGTGGTGTTTTAGGTACAGCTGTTCTGTGACTTTATATGAAGCAATCACATTATTTGTATACTATTTATAATGCAACCAAGGATAATAAGCTTCTGAGTATTGAGCAGATACCTCCATTGTTCTGTGAGTAATGAACTAGGAATAGATTAACTTCTATGTTTAGCTTTGAATGCAGGGAAGAAAGGAGAAATGTACTGGAAGAGCATTGTATTCACTGCTGGCAGTGGGTGGAAGCTTGGTGCATCATGGTTACTGGGAAGATGAATCTTGAAAACATATGGGTTTACATCTCAGCAAAAACTTTCAATAATATGAAAAAATAGTTGAAAAGTTGTGCAAAATCTGAAGCTCCAGGAGCCTTGACTTTTCTTTTTTAATGACCATACATCTTTGTTTTTTTTCAGCAGAGGGAATAAAACTTCTACCCTTTTCTGGCTTTTCATAGCTCTTTACACAGAAGCCAATTTATTTTGCCACTGAAAATTCAATATTACTACAACATTACTTTCCATCAGAGGCAGAAGGGTGAGGCATCATGTTTACTTAATACTTTATGACCTCAGAATTCACTCAGGAAGGGATCTCAATTCTTATCTGTTGGAAGTCAAGGCATAAACAAGTACTCATCACAAATACTATCGCTTTCTGTGAGAAAGTATACTAATACGGGCTACATAATCAATACGTAGTGCTCAACACAAAAAAAAACTATATAATCCAAGTAGAACATAATTAGCTAGCTGCTAACATTGCATGTACCTTGGCAGATGCAAGATTGTTATTACTTCATTGAACAAGTCCCTTTGACTATTCTTTAAAATGAATGGAGATGCTAACACACTTTGGTATTATGCATTGAGGTGGTGCTACCAAAAAAAAAGCAACAACAAAAACTCACCAATACATTAGGTTTACTTATGCATATTATCCAAATTTAACTATTTCCCATTAATGGTTTCTCACTTATACATCAATGATAAAATGCTTCTTTATACTACCTTAAACAACATCCCCCTTTCCTACCTCTCTTCAAGACTTTAATGGCTAAACAATATTATTTTCAGCACAGGTCATATTTACCATGTCTGTTCCAATTTTATATATCTCTCCTCATTATCCTTAGAGTTTGTTTCTTAAAGTCCTGAAATAGCCCTTTGTTTCCCTGCAATTAATTGGTCTGCCTTTAGCTCCCTTTTGAGGTGATCATATTTGTATCCAGAGAGACATGTGTGGATCCCTCTGAAGCTCAGCAGCATCTCAAGCAGATTAAACACGCCATTCCATAGCTCCATTTCACCCAGGGGCTGAGTGTTCTACATAAACAGGCATTCAATTCTTGCAGACGTGTTCATGAGGGCAGGAGAACTAAATGGATTGTGTCAAGTTCTGTTGCCCTAGTCACTGGGTCCTCAAGTCTAGGTTATTATTTTCACTGGAACTGGTTTGTCACAGGAGGCAGCTGGAACAGGATACATTTTTCCCTGCTCAAATGCATACACACTAGTGGTGCTCCTAATGTATAAAGAATAAATAAAGGATCTGCACTACTCCTAGACAGAGCAAGAGGAAAACAGGCAACTGAGTCCCTTTTTTCACCATTTCTCTGTAAAATAGAAGAGTGTGATAGAAAAGTGTAAAAAGAGCTTGCTTCTTCCTGTGGAGAACACAGTCCATACAGCTCACTCAGAGATGGTTTGTAGGAAAATTCATCTTAAAAAAATTCGTGAAAGGTCAGCCAGATTCGTCCCCCTCACACACAGTTAAAAGTTAGCCACAGATTCTTCTGCAACACTGGCAGAAGTTTCACCAAGAATGAAGAGGACTGGAAAGAGAAAACATATAACTATACAGAGAAAGCAGCAGTAAATTAGGAAAAAAGGGATTCTGGAGATGTCTATTAAAAGGAAATCTGTGACTCACCTGTTAAATCACTTGGCAAATCAATAACCAAGAGGGTCATATTGGTGGTTCTGGAGAGTGCCAAGAGCATCAGGAGATCTCTCACCCTGGGGAGATGAAAATTAAATCTACCAGTACTGATCTTCCACGTGTAAATCCACACGTTTTCTGAGGATGAGTAGCTGGTGTGGCTTCTGTTCCACAGCTACATCACCTTTCAGAGTGGGATCTGTCCTCATTTCAATAGGATTTACCTAGTTAGAGCTAATATAAAATAATACGAGGTAATATAAAATACTTTGCTGGATAGATATTGAATCTACAGATTATCTTCCTATGAAGTTCTTTCCCAAAATAACAGGTGTCCATGTGTATGTTCATACACAAATACTGGTGTATGTGTATATATATTTTTAAATCACAGGTACATGGGCAGCTCTCCATATCTTTTATTTTTCAGTTTAACTTTTTCAGTATGAGTTATCCCAAGAGTCATAAAAATACCATGCAAATGCAGGTTTTATTTTTTTTCAAATGCCAAAGTTCCTAATCTTTCAAATAACATACAATCCTTACTCTTAATTTAGCCTAATTTTTCTTCATAACAGTTTGCCAGCATCTTTTTCATTCTGGAGAATTCTTTAGAACTGAATGTATTTTTAAAGAGGATTCTATCTCCTAAAAGTTTTTTTTAACAGGCTCTAAAACACTGCTAGTTGTCTAGTAAGTGTGTTTACTAGGATGCAGTCTGGTACATCCTTTTGCAGCATCTCCTCAGTGCCCTTGCCTGTCAAACCCAGAAGTTACTGCAGGACACACACAGCACGTTTTCACCTCGTTACTCCAGTTCATACTCCAGAATATTAGTTGAGCCAACAATGAAGCAAAGTTTTCCAATGACACACTGAAAACTGGAGAAGCTAATGCACTACTAGACTTCCTCTTCTGCTAGCTGTGTTCTGGAGGGGTGGAAATGTCCAGCACAAGGAGTCGGCAGACTGATAAAGGCAGTAGCATTTTCAAATGCCATAGCTTAATTATCCAAAAATGTCTGTCAGACCATGTGCTCATGTGGAGTTTGTCTTCAGAACATGAGCAGATTTAGTAATTTTCCCAGTGTGTCATAATTACAACATTCAGAGAACCCAAAATCACATGGGACCTTTTTATTTTCTCCATATGGCAATAAATGTCATATTTTCCTTCAGTGTCACTCGTAGCTCTTTCAGCTGTGTCGTTTTCCAAGTATCTCCCCCTCTCTACTGAATCACTGCTGTATAGATAAGTGTTTACTGACACACACAGTGCTGTTCCAAGTGCTGCAAACTTCTTTGTGTACGGGGGGCTCTTTGCAAATGGGTGGGGAGCCAGGAGCCAAGTGTGGTAGCAGGGTTGGCAGGACAGGGTTTTTTTTAACCCTACCCCTCACACCCCGAAGCGAGGCCTTGCAAGGCAGCACTGCAATTGTGGCACATTTGAGTGGTGTATGTAGTTCAGTGGAGAAGGCTTCTGGGTAAGCAGAAAGGAGCAAACTTATCTTTTTAGTACCATAGGCTCATTTTGGTTTTGTGTATTAGTGGGAGAGAAGTTGATGTCGACATCAAGAACTTGCCGACACTCATCCTTGCATTATCTTAACATGATCAATCTGAAATGATATACTTATTTGGTATCAAATTGGTAGTGTAAGGCGTTACCTAAGCTGGGGCTGTTCTTTTGCCATGCTGCATTGCTTGAATGCGCAGACTCCCTAGACAAAGGTACCACTGGTACCATTACTGGGTACTTCCCCATGACTGGTGTACAAAATCACATGGCAGGCGTGTGAGGAAAATGGTGCTCTTTCACTGGTTGGTGAAATGATACTTCTGAGAGCTCAGGACTAAAGGTGATGATGAAGTCACAGAAATTCATCCCTTCCATCTCTCCCCCGAAAGATTGACTTCATACAGTCAATTCCTGTTTCTTGAGATAAGAGTCTTAAGTAAATTATAACCTATAAATTATAAATGGCAAATAATTTGTGATACCCTGTGAGGAAGTTGGGGTCTGATTATACCAGCGTATCTCCAAATCCACATGGAATGTTTTGTCCAGCTTGATACACATAAGTGATAATATATGGTGCAAAGAAGTGGAGTGCCATCCCATTTGTTTTGTTTTTATAAACCAGGAGCTATGAAAGCCCATCATAGCTTTCTAAGAAGTTACTAGAAGAGTATGTTATTTCTAAACTTTGGGGTTCCTATAAATCAAGGCATATTTTACCTGGGTATTCTCTTTTTCTAAATAAATATAAAAAAGTGTTCTGTCTATGGGAAATCATTATTTCCTCCTTTGTGAATCACTTTGTTAAATTAGGAAAGTCTTGCAAAAGAGTCCTATTATGATGATAGTGTGTGAAAAATGTAAAATATAATTTAGTTTTTTTTTAAGATGAATGACTTTTTCATTGTTTTATTGCTAATAGCAAATGCATTTCAAAATCAAAGTAACTTGATAGAATCCACATCTTAACACTGCTACTGAAATTGTGTTTTGATTTCTTTGACATGATCCCTGATTGCTGTGAGAACAATCAGTACAGTATTTTTGTTCTTAGATTCCCCCTCCTTTGTCTTGCAGCTACTTGTGGCAGATTCCATTAACAATTGCAGTAGGAAATACGAGCCACATCTCATCAGAGGCAATTATATGGGTGTCTAACAAATCAGGTAAAAATAAACTTTCCTCCCAGTGGAATCTCATAAAGCATACTTGTGTTTTCCTCAACTGTTTCTTTGGAATTGATCCTAGATAATTGTTTAGTTTCTCTGCACCCAGTTTTAGCTACTTGAAACGAATTACAAAAAAAGGAGACTTGGGAAGGGAGGGAGGAGGAATGAAGGATGAGTAACAAGGATTTATAATTATCACAGAAGTTAGAGAGTATAATGAAAAGCATTTACATAGAAATGTGTACCTAAGTGCTAAGTATTTTGTATTTAGCAGCACATATCAAATCATTGATGAATGCAATTCACTTTATAGATTGGTGAAAGTTAAATGTAATATTTTTATAGCAAAGCATCTGATGAGTATGACCTAGTAAATGCAAAGTATTTAGAATTGTAGCATTTTTAGTGCTAATCCATAGTTGAAACCAGGGCTAAGAAATGTTTGCTGTCATTAAAAAAATTCCTTATTCATCTATCAAAGTATTTCTTCTCTCTATTAGATAACCAGATGCTGGACCTCGAAAGTGCATTACTACTTATTTTCTTCCTCCTCAGTTCCTACATCTCATAATAGTTATTGTCCTGAGGACAGCTAGGTATAGATACCAGTGGTTTTTTTTTCACCTAAAAAAGGAATCCTGTTATAGGTATTTTGTGAAATATTTATCTATTTCTTTGGGAGTTCATGCTACATCAGCTGACAATTTTGGACTAGAATTGAAGAGAGTGAGGAAAGGAATGTGGAAATTTGAATAAAATGATTATAGGGAAGGGAAAAGAAGGATCTATGCATCCCTTTGACACATGGGCTTTGCAAATGCTGCCTCACTTTGCAGACATATACCATGTTGGCCATACTTTTTAATATTAACACCTGCAGAATAGTTCAAAACCTGTGCACTTTCACAATCTGCCGTAATGACCTGCTCTACTTTTGTCCTATAGGTCTTGATTGAACACTCATTGAAGTTAATAGAAATATTCTCACTGACTTCAGAGAGAGTTGATCATCTCATTTCATCTTATCTCATTAGGTTGCACATGCATGCCTCCTTTCCTGTGCTCCCGCCTTGAACATTCAGTGTGTCATGATTATCTGCACAGTTGCATCCTCATTGCCTTTTACTTGCAGAGTGCTGTGGAGGAACAAGTCCATAAAACCACTACCCACTCCTTTAAGATCTACTGCTCCTATTGGAATGCTTTCAAGAAGTCAACAAATTAATGATGGCCAGTCTGAGCAATGATTTTGGGGTGGCTGCTATATAGAAATGAAAGAGGAACCTTTTGAGTCATCAATTTCCTGTGTAGCGAATCAATGCCATTGTGACCTATTGTCATTATCCTTGTCCTTCCTCATTACTTACTCACTCATTCATTTGCTGTGCCTCATTGAAAATGGGACTGTAAACTTATGACTATAGCAAGGATGTCCTCTTGCTTTTACTTATTGTTTAGCTCAGCTGGAGAATTCCTCAACATAAAAACTCAGTAAGAACATCCCTGGATGTACTCAGTGTGTGATTCACTGTATGTAGTTATGTGTTGGGGCTGGTATAGATGATTTTGTGATAGTCCTGGTGATTTTCTGCAGCTGGTATGTTTGTTTTATGGGGATGTGGGAGGGATTCTGAGACTGGAAAGGATGACTTCCAAGACTGGTTCTTGTGGATGTGAAGAATCCTGAAGACATTCTGTTGTGCAGAGGACACAGTTTCACTGTTGTCCCAGTGAATAGTGTGGGAATCTCTGCAAGCTGGAGGTGAAACAAACTACTCCAGAGGATATTTATCAAAGTAGGAGTGGTCACATTGTTCTTATGTGAGTGCAATTGAATGCGGATACACAAATCGAATTTGGAGAAAATGCTGTTCATGAGGGTGGTTTCCATGCCCTCTTTAGGAAGGACCTGGCATTTCCTTCTTGTTGACTAAACTGCTGTACTAAAGAAGCTTCCAGTGTAACCTGAAGAGTGGATAGGAGATGATGTACAGCTGTCTGTTGTCTGTCATGTAGTTCCAGTCACATAACTCATTTGAGCTGCCAGTAATGAAGAGGATCCAAGTTAATGACTACTATTATGATACCTTGACATACCACTTATTTTTTTCAATAAAATTATCCTTATCTGTGTGTTATCTGAGAGAAATGAAACCACAGCAGCTTTGAAATAGCTACATTTATTGAAGAAATATTCTTCTTTTTGTAGTAGTTTAAATAACAAATTCCTAGGGGAGTACACCCCCTGCTTTGCACTAGAGTTCACCAGGTATAGCGATTTGCTGATGGAAAAGTCTCTTCGTCCATGTACATCCAGAAGGACAAGAGAGAGAATTACTGATTTTTGCATCCTCTTTGCTACTGTGTCTGTGACCTCATCAAAGTACTGTAGAATGCCAGTTGGAATTTTCATGAACAAGGGGTAAGAGGCTGTTGTTCAGTCTTGTAAGAGCCAATCAAATGGGATACTTGGATTGCTGCTCTCTACTTGTGTTGGCTGTGGCTGGCTGCATACTAGAGATAGTGAGACAAGCAACTCACTGATTGTTCAATATGCTGAGCAGGGTTAGCTCAGATGATTGCAGATCATCCCAATTGCTGTCAACAAAGCTTATTCTATCCACTCTTTACACCACCAAGGTGAAGGGATGCTGGAAATTACAACTATGCATGAGGTTTAATTCATTGTCCTTTGCAACAAATCCTGTCAAGAGGACAGTGCCAGGCCTTGGCTACTGTCTGACAAAGTGCATTATCTCCAAGATGTTTCATATTCAGTGTAGCTCTGCACACCTGTTTGGGGAAAGTATGTAGTCATAGTGCTGGAAGGTTTTCATCTTCCAAGTGCTTCTGCGAGTCCCTCTTCTCCTTGTCCAGTGAGCCGTAGCATTCATGTAACCATTTTCCCACTTACCAGTTCATACACTGGCCATCAGATGACCCTTCTACTGGCTCAGTTTTTCAGGGCATGTGAAATGGAGCTGTCTCGTTTCCTGTCACAGTGTTGCACAGATACGTCACCACCACCTTTTTCCCTGTTCACTCCCTGTATCCATGAATGAGACCATTCTGCTTCAGGTGGGTGACATCTATTAAACCTCTGAAAATTAAACCAGTGATGAAGGAGACATCTCATGATTAGTCTTCCTATCTGTGCTGATGTCAGAGACATCACAGTAAGATGGCTGCAATGTTCTTCGTGCTACAGTCTTGCAGGTCTGCTGAAGGATAAATGATTTCACTAGCACTGGAAATCATCAGTGTTAACAAAACTTCTGCTCTGTCGTAGTCCATGGCTTGTTTCTGTTTCTCCTAGATAAGTTGCTTCTTTTGTGGTCTCTGTAGTGATATATGAACACAATGTCCACAGTGTTTTGGGGTCAGCCCAAAATCAATAGCGGGTAAAAAGTCAAGGACCAGGTTTGAATTCAGCCCATCCCCACAAGACAACCGCTTAGCAGGACTTGAGGGAAGATGTTGGCAATTACTGCGGAAGGTGTACTGAGTGTGTAAGCATAGGCTCACCTGTCACATTTCTGCAAATCCAAGAGACGGACTTTAACCTCAAGTGAGGAAGTTTAGCTAGCATCCACATCAACACAGGTGAGCAAGGCTTTGGACATAGGCATGCTTGCCATTCCCTGGGCGTGACTGTTCTGGCATTCAAGCTCCATGTGGGAAATATGTCCATGCAATTCAGCAAGTGCTGCTGAACAGACTGATGCAGCTTTTCAGTTTGCTTCCCTGCCGTTTCCATTCCCACCTCCTGTATCTTGACTGTCTTCTTGTGCCCCTGGGAATATTCCTCTGATAGACCTTCCTGCCTCTGGTAAAGTTGCTCTCATTCAGACTCTTAGTGTCTCCGCAGGATTGCCTTGAGGTGGAGGAAAGAAAGTTCAACAGGGCAATTGCCTTTCAAACAGCAAGTCCCAACTTACTGTATTACCCCACCTCCTGCTAGAAAATCTGTACTTCAGCTGTAAGCCCCTTGACAGTGGTTCTTCTCCACAAAGTGCTTTGTAGGAGACAGCTGCTTCTGAGCTGGGGTTTGCTGGCTGCCCACTGGGGAACAGAGAATTAGTGCAGGATTAGAAAAATACCCTTTCTTTTCTTTTTTCAGACAAAGCTGCTGAGCTTGACCTGTGTTGCTTCCAGACTCCACTCTTTTGGCTTTCAAAAGCAGGAGTAAGTAAAATAAATATATAGGTCCTGCTTTATAACTTTAGCCAGCTACAGTGAGGACCAGGGATACAAAATGTGCAATCTGATTTTGACAGAGTAAGGCAGAATCATTCCCATTATCCCAACAGCTGAGCAACGATCCTAAGAGAAGACTGCTCCTTACATTTTGTATCGCCATAGACATCAGCAGTTCCATCATATACGAATGTTAATGGGGGGAAAGGTAGTCTGAGCAAAAAGTATGTGAGACGTATTTACTGGTGTTCTCCATTTATTGTGTTATTCACTACACCAAAGCATTTTTTTTCCAACATGGAGATGTGGCAAGTGAGATAGAAAAAGCTTGGTGGACTTGATGATCTTGAAGGTCTTTTCCAATCTAGTTGATTGTACGAGTCAAACTTTTTCTCCTGGTTTGTCTTCCCCCTGTATGAAAAGCTCTTGCAGTAAGATTTGCAGATCTTAGTTAAAGCCGGTATTCTTTCACAAAATACTGTAATGAAATTCCTCATGGAACATATTTTTTTCATCAGAAGATTTTCACTTGCTGTTCTTGGCATGAAATTGTGCTACTCTTGCGCAATTGTTTTTGCAGGAAAATGGAGCCAGTTGTCCCAGTAAGAAGTCTACCAGCATAAACCAATTTCCTAGTATGCTAAGGGTTGTATAAAATGAAAAGATAAAATAACAGCTGAGAGTCTAACACTTGAAACTGTAGTAGGACTGTGTTTAGCCCACGCTTCTGTCAGCATTGGAGTAGTGTCTTGCAGAGGGATGCCCTTCACCCAGACCTGCCTCACAGGGTGCTCATGTTGCCATGAAGAGGAGCAGGCTTCAATCTTTCCTGCTGGTTTTGATGGAGTTGAAGTTGCTGGAGAGTTGGGAGTGCTCAGAACTTCAAGCCACCTGTTTTTAACACCAGCTGGAGGGCTGTCTCACACTTCCAGAGCAGGGAAAATTAGAATCAGACCCTAACTGATTTTCTTAGTTCAAAATAAATGTCATAAAATTAACCATTTCCTCTTAAATGTCTCCTATATGTATATGGCAAAACTAGAAGTTTCAGAGCTATGTTCTTTTCTGAGGCAGCCAGACAAAACATGACCATGGAAAACTCTTTCTGATGGAAGAAAAGTAAAAAAAAAATCCCTTTAATCTGAAGTACAATTGTATATCTATTGTAGATTGAATTTTAAGACGCAAACTAAAGCCTTCGAAGACAGATTTCTTCCCGAATGAAATCTTTGTTGTTGTTTAGAAAGTCATGATTGGTTTAATGTAGGGTTTAACAGGGAATGACTACATTTTCCGTAACTGTAATACTTTTAACGGGAAATTAATAAATGTGTTTATGGTAAGTGGAGAAATTGCCCAGGTGTATAGAAATTTTCAGTGCTGTAATCACCAAAAGAAAGAATTCCTTTTACACAAGGGTGTGATACTCCACAGACTCAAACATCAAATTCCAGTAAATTATATAGAGCTATGTAAGGCACATGCATCAGGCAGTCCCTTAAAATAACCACCTCCTTATATGAGCTGGAAAGGCATGAAAGATTCAGGTCGTGTATTTCAGGAGAAGATCGACATGAGTAGTCTTATTGAAAAATAATAGTAAGGGGGTATGGCTGTATTTCAACTGACCACAAAAGCAATAATACCATCAAGATTTGAAAAGATACTTTTCTCCATTAAAGTGGTATATGTTGGAGATGTTGCACAGCCATTACTTGTGAAATAGGTTATTTTGAACTTGTCATATTTGACTGGCAGGTATCATTCAGTATTTCATCATTTCAGAGATCAAAATTTAATAAAAATACTCAAAAAATTGATAACATCCAATTTTGAAAATTTCCATTTCATGTATTTATTTATACAGCTATTGATTAATGTGAGCTCATAGCCCATTTGATACGCTTTTAGGTATCATAGAGGTACAGGGATTAACCAGTTACAAGTAGCTGCTTTCAGGGATGGTGGCATTTAAGGTTAGTTTGCAACAGAAAAGCACGGGTGGAAAGCAGTACTACATTAAAGTGGTAGAAGTTTCTACCAGACATAAGCAGCCTGCTCGTGTCCCCACATGGCAGTATGCCCGTCAAGAGCCAGAGAAACTCTACAAGTTGTCATTTCCCTCAGCAGTCTCTCCTAGATATAGAAATGGATATTTATGCTGTTGCTTTTAAGTCACCCACTGGGTTGGTAAGTGTCATGGTTTTAAGCCCCGCCGGCAACCCAGAACCATGCAGCCGCTTGCTCACTCCCCCACCTTTCCTCCCCCCACTCCCAGAGGGATGGGGAGGAGAATCAAAAGAATGTAACCCCCATGGGTTGAGGTAAGAACAGTCCAGTAACTAAGGTATAACACAAATCACTGCTGCTACCACCAGTAATAATAATGATAAGGGAAATAACAAGGGAAGAGAATACAACCACTCACCACCTGCCGACCAATACCCAGCCCGATCCCAGCAGTGACCCAGCCCTTCTGGGTAACTGCCCCCAGTTTATATAGTGGACACGACGTGCTGTGGTATGGAATACCTCTTTGGTCAGTTTGGGTCAGGTGTCCTGTCTCTGCTTCATCTCAACTTCCCCTCCTCCCTGGGAGAGCATGAGACTCAGAAAGTCCTTGGTCAGAGTAAACATTACTGAGCAACAACTAAAAACATCAGTGTTATCAGCATTGTTCTCAGGCTGAAAGTCAAAAACACAGCACTGCACCAGCTACTAAGAAGGAGAAAAATGACTGCTACTGCTGAACCCAGGACAGTAAGGAACTGAGATAGCTGAGATTTAGGGGTGAGAGATTGTATTCACCTAATTAAATGTAAATTAAATAGGATTGTGTAGATCCAGATTCAGATTCCTTCTCTCCCTGTTTTATGACAGGTATTTGATACAAATTGGTTCTAAGAAAGTGCCATTATCACTGTGCTGTAAATTGTTACAGTCTTTTACAGTATTTCTACAGTAATGTTTTTCTTTTATAAGGTTCAGTGATTTACACAGAAACAAGTTTTCAAGTCCATTATAAGTAGGCTGGAGAAACTGTGTGATTCTGACTTCAGATCCAGTGAAAAAAGGATTTAAACAGAGGAGCAATTTCAGTATGGCAGTCTAAGAGAGTGTGCTCAAAACTGAGTTATATAGCCCAGTGTTTAACAGACCTCTGTGGCAGGAAGGACACCCGGTGTTAAAACCTTATTCCAAATTGATTGTGTGGCAAAAGTATCTTAAGTGCTTTGACAGTATGAATGCCTGGGAAGCTCACGGAGTTACAGGACTTAATTCTGGTTTACTCAGTCTCATTTCTACAGGATGCATTGGCTCCTAAAGAATGTGTTTGCTTGGCACTTTATCACAGATAACTATACGGATGTAGTCAATATTTTAACTAAAACCAGGGGTCTGTATTTCTTTTTCTCAGTCATTATATAGGATAATTGAATTGAACTGGTGTGAGTCAGTTAGACAAACACTAAAATAGCAATAACAATTGAATAGTCAAGAATCGAATTATTCTGGGATTAATATTTCTAAGAAGTGTATTTTTAAGAGAATTTAATGATGTCACAACTATGTAAGTGAGGAGATTATTTTCTTTTTTAATCCTTCAGCTTTTTATTTGAATTCATGTGCATGATGCAAATCTATTAATTTAAATTTAAAATATAATTGTTTTTAGGATTGGGTTCTTGCTGTTCTTACTTTTTGCACCTTAAAATACAATTGTTTGTGGTTTTGCTAGAGGTCTTTAGTCATAACAACTTTTATCTGCAGTCCTAGTCATCTATTATTTCCTCAGAAATTAATTTTATATAAGAAAGGCTGAAATAATTTTCTTCAGTAAGTCTAGGTACTAGATACTATGTATGAATTGTGAAGGCTGTATTGTTAACTTTTTTCCCATTAGTTACTTTCACAGAATTCATGCACACCAAACAATTCCTGATGGAATTACTTTTAAAAGAAATGTTTTCATCTTTTTTTTTATTTTTAAAAATGGATAATACTGTTTCTTTTGTCAACCATGTACAAACTACTTATAGTAGAAAATTGTTACTGAATTTTAAATGAGCTCTGGTTCATGATAGATTTTGTCAGAATAATTTATTAGATTGAAGGCTCCTTCCAGAGACAATGAAGCCTGAGGCATCCATGATGATGCTTTCCATAGTGAAAAAATTGTGTGTTGTGAGTTCTGAGCCTTTTTGTTGTTGAAATCCCTAGACCTTCAAATAGTTGTGGACTGCCTGGCTGTACAAATACTAAAATAAATTTAGACTTTCAGCCCTAAAGTGATCACTTAAAAAAGAGACAAAAGAGGAAGAACAGGATAGTTGATATAAGGTTAATTGGTCTAGCTCTAAAGGGGAGCATCTCACTGGTTAGTAGCTAGAAGCTGTACAGCTGGAAATACTTTAATTTGAAATCCAGTATAAAGTACATGAAGAAACACTTAAGAATTTATTTATTTTTTAATCACAGGTTTAGTTTTCTCTGTATAGCACATCCATTGAATTACTGGAGTTATGGTTGTAGAAAGCTATTTTAGCATGTTCAGAAACAGGGTACCAGACTTCAAATAGGCACCTTTCATATAAATACTATTTGCCAGTAAAAAAACACCCTGAGAGTTTTGTGTGGTTGAAAGGCCCCCATAGGAATGTCAGCTGGTGTCTCTACATCAAACCAGATAAATTAAATTAGTAATCCAACATAATGCTTTTGTTAGTCTTTAAATTAATTTTGCTGCCTTCGTGGATATTTACAGAAAGAGAGACTTTAACAAAGAAATTTAAAACCAACTTTCCTTCCCATCTTGTTCTTTGTTTCCAGAACACCACAGAATTCCTGCTTTGGAAGAGGCAAGTTGGTTGCTGGGGAACATCAACCAGACTGGCTACTTTAGAGTTAATTACGATATTAGGAATTGGAGGCTGATAATTAATCAGCTAACAAGGAACCATGAGGTAAGTTCCCCTTCTTATCCCTAAAATCTGTTTTTATAGGTGAACTTTCACTGTTTCATCACCCTAAATGGTTCGATTTTTGTGCTTGCCCCTCACAGGTTATCTCTGTCAGTAATCGAGCAGGCTTGATCGATGATGCATTCAATCTAGCCAGGTATGTTTTTCTGAAGATAATCTATCCTCAAACACATTGCTGCAATAACTCATGTGATCATTAGCGCAGCACTTGAGTGTGCTTTGAAGTTAAATATGTTTTAAACACACTTTAGTTCTTTTTCCCTCTTGATTTTTTGGTTTCTTTTTCTTTTTTTTTTTTTTTTTTTTTTTGTATGGCACATAAACATGCTCTGTAGCTCATTCACTGCTCTTGATCAATAATTGCTGTAGGGTATTTCCGAGTCTGGAGAGGTATGATCAATTTTGCAGCAAGTTCAATTTAACACTTTTGAGATAAATAATCTCTTTCCTCTTTCTCTAATGAGTGAGGTTTTTTTCTGCTGTTTCTCCCTACTGCCCTGCCTCTCCTCTCTTTTTCTTTATGTGACCCTGCTGGTGTATTTAATTTGTGATGGAAGGCACCTTTAAGCTTCAGTAATTTTTTTCACCCTGATTTGTACCGTTATATCATTTTTCCAGTGTCTTTTTTTTCTTTTTCTGCATGAGACTTTTCATGCAGAATGGTAAATCAGAATTCCATTGGGCGTTTCTGGAATTTATACAACATTTGTGTTTTACTATGGTCAGAGTTAATGATAACACAGTGCTGGTTAGGTAATGCCTTCTTTATTAATTGAGGCAATGAAATTTTCCCCATTCTGAAATCAGGACATCTGACATGTTAGCAGTGAAAGTGTAAAATGAGAGGAAAGTAGTGGAATATTTAAAACTTTTTGATTTTTGGTATCTGGGAACATTGTATCAGTAAAACACTGTGATGTCAAAGGCAGCATGAAGAGAATTCCTTGTATTACTGCCTTTTCTGTTTCCTAGTGTATTTATAGCCATATTTGAGCAGGGGCTTTCAAGAATCAGCAGTGTTGAGGTACATTTCACTACAAATGGTCACCAGAGATGTTTGAGATTCAGGTACAGTTTCACACAGAAATTATGGGTCAGTGATGTTCCAGCATCACTGCAGTAAAACACAGTTGTGTGCCCTACCACTTTGTTCCTGCTGCCAGTGCTAGGTTGAATATATGGCATAAACTATTCATTAGCCCTTACTTAACAGTCCAGAGATGTAGTAGGGAAGGAGGCATCATGAGGAGAGAAGGAGTATCCATTTGCTTTTTGCATTGTCCTGCAGTCTTGCCATGTGGCATTTTCCCATTGGCAGCAATAAAGGACTAGAAATAGGTCATCACTTAAGATGTCAGCAGACCGTGATTTGTGTACTTTTTGGGCACTAGCACATTGCAAAGTATTTCAAAATATCTAGACTATTAGAATAACTACTAATTGTTCAGTAATGTAATAGGCTGTTCCAAATTTGATTTTGGCACCTCAGAGAAGCAGTGTGCAGTTACACAGAATCAGTGTGGCACTTCCCATGCACTGAACAGAGACTGATGTGGCTAGACTTCTCTGAAAATCTAGACACTAAAAAAAGCTGTTTCTCAAGTTGAAATTTTAGGTGTGTTTTTCTTCTGAGTCAGTACTGAGCCAGTGTTCTAGGATGTCTTATTTGTGAAGCACAAAGGCAAGATCTTGATTAAAGGCCCAATCTTGAATTGTCTGGCCAAGTTTTGTCCACCTAAAAACCACCCACAGGTTAGACCAGCAATGCATTAGAATCATAGAAGTATAGAATGGTTTGGGTTGGAAGGTACCTTAAAGCTCATGCAGTTCCAACCCTACTGCCATGGGCAGGGACTCCTTTCGCTAGAGCGGGTTATCTAAAGCCCCATCCGACCTGACCCAAAGCATTCCCCACTTGCTTTCCAAAGCACCTTTATGGTGACACTGGATCCTGCTGCTTTTTCAGAGGTAACTACACCAGAGTGCTATGAAGTATTTCACAAGATTTAAGGTTCTAAAAAACTTGACTTTCTTTTGTTAATGATGAGCTACAGCAGATTGCAGCTGCATTTGCTACTCATGCACCATAGAAAAAAGTAGTTGAGCTGTATAGTAACAGTGTATACACATGTGCATAGATATTCTTTGTGAGTAATATTCTTCCAACAGAGCTAAGTAGCTGGATTCCCACTTCTTTAAAATGTCTGCACAGACTGCAGTCAGTAGTATTACCTTGACTATGTGCCTTACAAGCCAGTCTCAGTGGAGAAAAGATCTGCATGTTTACGAACAGTAGTTTCATGCCCTGTATTTCAAGAGCAGCAATAAAATATGTAGAACTGGCTAAGCTTGCCTGGTAGGGTATGCTTTTTGTTGATTTTCTTTTACTTTATTCATCTATCATTTTTACTATTAAAAAAGCCCCAAACAATTATAGTGATGCTGGCTAGCTTACTATATGGTACCTATTTAAAAAGAGTTTGTTTTTTTATTTCCCCTCTCCCAGACAAACAAAGATCAGGAATAGTCCTAGTCCATGCTCTGTTCCTCTATCATAAGTAGGACTAGAGAGACATTAAAAGACTGTTAGAAGAGGACTGTGTTGGGGTCAGGCTGTGATGGCAGAGCACCTGAACTTCTAGGAGCGTAAAAGCAGATGGAAAAGCTCTTGCTAGGACAATTGATGGAGCATGTTGATGCTGCAGGGTGGTTCAGGTGCCCCTGCTTTGTCAGGTGCTCTGACTGGACACATCAGTGTTCCTAATAGAAGCTCCGAGGGCTGTAAAAATCACATGGATCCTTTCAATTTCGTCAAAAAGTTGATGTTCAAAATGCCATCATCAGCCTAAAAACAGCTTAGCTTCCCCCTCTTAACTGCAAGGCGCAGTGTAGAAAGTCATTTCGCTTTCTTTTGGAGCAGTACCATGGTTTGGATGTTACCTTCCTTGTAGGTGCAGTGCTGATTCAGTCTCATCTCCAATGTACAGCACATGTTTTTCCCTGCCCATATAATGACACGTGATGGGGAGATTAAATACGTATGCTTGTCTCTGACAGTGACATGAGGAAAGGTGAGTAACCTTATTGACCAGGCATAGAGGTAGTAATTGGTAGTTTAGACCTGACTTCTGAGAAAACTGGCTGGTTTTGAGGGTAATTCAGTCCTCAGTTGTGGTCCCTACTTGCACTGACGTGTTATCTTCTTGTCTACAAATGTAAACATACACATTTTGAGAGCGAGAACTGTGGAATACATACTTTTATTTTAATCCCTAGCTATTCTTTTCAGTGATAAAATAATGTGAAAATGAAAACATAACAATTCAAATTCATGCTGGTCCTTTTCAAAAGAATTTGTAACATAAACAGTTCTTTTTACGGTACTGAAGAGACTGTATTTCTTCAATGTACCTTGTCCTTAGTAACTTTTGAAGTACTCCCTACTTGTTGAGCAACAGACTTGGTACAGGTAATGCCCGTTCCACATAAGAAGTGGCACTCAGTTTTTCCACTGTCCTAATATGGTATGTCCTAATATGATGTTTCTGTGTAGTTTTACTGCTAACTGATTTTGTTTGTGGAAAAAGTACAGGTGTTATATTTAATAAAATTTAGTTATATTTAGATCTGGAGAAAGATGAAAACATTGCTCAGATAAATGATTTTGGAGCACATTATTTTTTTTTTAAGGTGTGTTTGATTTCATTCCTCCAAAATGTTTATTATCCTTTTACTGTCCAGCATAATGATCTCTCAAAAATAAACAATGTAAGTGAATTGATTCCTCCGAGGAATATTTTGAGCTCTATAACTTTAATTTCATAAAGTTTTGCCCATTTTATATGGAAATATAGTCCTTCTTCTTCCTTCTTGGTGTATTTTGGTTCCTAAAACTAATCAAGCAGAGTTGAATCAAATAATAATGACAAAAGAAAGCTAAAGCTTGCCCACTGTGTTTGAATTCTTGCAAGGTTGTTTGTTTTTTAGATTTTTAAGCATAATTCTGTTCTCAGCTGCAGTATACACACACACACCCTGAGGATCTGGAGAGCTGTATCCTTGGCAGTAACATAGCTTATGGAAATACATGCTCCAAATTCTTGAGCACCTTGGTACTCTCTCCTTCTTCTTGAAGATCCTTTATCTTTTGGGGTTTTTGTGTGAAACCTCAATATAATTTGAAAATACATTGACTGTAGTAAATTATATATGTTGACTGAGAAAGCAAGAGAGACAAATAAAACTGTGGTTCTATTCTGAGCTTAGAGCAGAGGGCAGTTCAGGTAGCTCCAATAACTAGTGCCACAGGAAGTAACAAAGATCCTGCTGTTTCTTGAGAGTGTGAGTAATGTTGTCATCTTATCCTGTCTTTCTCTTTCCTTACTATAAGGGGTCAGTTAGTGAGTAGGTTAGGTGGGATATTTACTTAGGTATCCCAAAGGTAGAGTCATAAATCTGAGTTTGTCACCTTGCAGTGCACTGACAATTAATGGAGAGAAGCATGCACCTAACCTCTCAAAGCCATTTAACCACATAGCTTAAGAAAAATTACCCTCCTAATATAACTAGTGTTGTATCATTCCTAGTTCTTCCTTGCTGGGCCCTAAATCTTAATATTCATTTCCCCTCATTAAATTGGTTAACTTAATTCAATATTATGTAAAATCAGTCGGTCTGGTTTGTGTTCATCATTATCCACTGTTGAATCAGATGTGACTATGGATACCTATTTTACTGTCATCTAAAATATTTACTGTTCTTTCCAGTTCTGGGAGAATCCATCAGTTCTGTCTCTTGAAACCCTATGTGTGTTTCATTCTTCTTTGATACTGCCTGCACCATAGTCAGCTCACCATGTTAAGGTGGCAGGTTCTTGGTTTGCATGCCAGTAGCTCCAGAAACCTGTTTTTTATTTTGATGCTGACAAACTATTTCTATACATTAATCCCTTGTCTTCTGTGCTGTGGTTGAAGGGATAGTTTTGAAGCTCCTGGATATTCAGATATTGCTGATGGCTCCCTTTCAGGTGGGAAAGGGAACATAGAGGCCTAGTGACAGCACAGTGCATGTCAAGACTACACTGACTACACAGTACAAGACTACACAGGTTACACATTAACAAAGGCCAAAGATAAA